GTGTCCTCGACTTTCAGACTGTTCATTTGCAGATACAGTGTGTTCTTGGCGTTGTCTCTGGAGATGGTGAATCGGCCCTTCACGGAGTCTGCATAGTGTGTACTACCACGACTACCACTAGTAATTTACGCGACCCACTGCAGGCCCTTCCCTGGAGCCTGGCGGACCCAGCTCATGTCATAATCTCTGAAGGTGAATCCAGAGCCTGTACAGGAGTGTCTTAGAAAGCCCCCAGGCTGACTCAGGCCTCCCCCGGTCTCCACCAATTGCACCTCACACTGGGAACCTGCAAACACAGACACATCCTTGTTAGGAAACCATCCCACTGTTTCTCTCACTTATGCCCATTCACATGAACTTGCTCCCCATGAAATGACCTTTTAGTAGAGCAACAAGGAAAACCCAGCTCAGCACAGACTCCATGGAGACTCGTCTGTGTTCAGTCCAGATCACTGAATGGGGACACCTGGAATCCTGGGGTTGGGGCTCCCTCCCAGAACTGCAGGTTTGGGACTGGGCTGGTTTTCATCAGCTGAGGGAGGGACCCTATTTGCATATCCTCCTCCTATGTAGCAAACTATGGGGTTGGATGTCTTCAGAGAGGGCAGTGATTCAGAGCAGATGTAAGTGTTCTGGGGAGGTTGATGACAATAACAGCATTGGGAAAATGTCATTTCTCTTTATGTGATTGAGCTTCCAGAATAAGACAGACTCAGCAGAAGGAAGGAGCCATCCTCATCTCAGGGAATTGACTGGTGGAAACCTTATGAATAGCAGTAAAACACTATGTGCTATATTCTTGGAAACTTTTATGAATATCCCTGATACATTGTCTGACATGCTGCTGGAAGATGAGCCCCTCAGATCAGAAGGCCCTCAATACTGGACTTGGGAAGTGCTGCCTCCTCAGAGCAGAGTTTACCTTAATGATGGGTTTGGAGTAAAGCTTTCAGGACCTCCATTCCCTGATGTGACTCAAGTAACCTAAGGATTATGAGGACGGTGCATGACCCAGGAGTATTTCCTTCTGTTGTCACAATCTGATGACACTTAACCACACAAAACACAATTTAAATGCATCAATTCCTTTTT